TCCCAGTCAGAGTAATGCAGCTGATAATGAAGGTGGTGAACATATTCGGTGATGTGTGGACTGGCATGTAAAAGATTGTAGAGGCATAGAATTGTGGGCCCCGCCACCAAAATTGTCGCGAAAAGACGTCTTCGCGATGGTCGAACCAACGTTTGACATGTTTGGGACATCGAAGATAGTGTTTTCCAATCTTCAGCAAGCAACAGTTGGTCCACGACGTTTTCTTGTAAGACGTCCATTGGGATGTCGACTCGCATTCTTCTTTCCAATTGTTTGTCAGTTCGGTATGGTAGTAGACTATCTGACTTACTTGTGAACAACTCTTTCCGAAGGTGTCAGAACGGTCTAACGAGTGTCCAATACGATGACAAATCAAAGTACTATTTTTCCAAGTCTATCGATGCGTGCACTCTTTTGTGGTTGTTGTGTACGACGTTGTTAGGTCAATCAATAGAAAAAATACAAAGGAGCGGTACAAATGAATCTTAATAATAGTGCTACATCAAGGGCAAATAAGCTATCAAGAACGTCAATCAAACTCCGGTCCTTCCTTTTTTTGCGTTGCTGCCGTCCTCGTCCCCAGGACCAGCCTTACGCTTACCATCGTTCACCATCGTATGACCCGAGCGCAGATTGGAAGGTCCCGCCGCTGCATTCTGTGGAAGAGCCGATTGCTGGGTAGGTCCAGATGGTGAGGGGGTTTTCGGTGTCTGTGGAGTTGTGAACTCCGAATATGGCTCAGAACTTGCGGTAGAAGAGCCATCAGAACGGCGCGGAGGAGTATTTGGAGGCCAAGGTGTGAACTGGTCGTTAGGGCCTCTGATAGGAAGAGGGCTCTGGAGAGGAGATACCGGAGCTTGTTCTGCAATAGGAATTCTTTCCGTTCCTGCACATAAAGAGGTTATTTGTTAGTTGGTGTAACTGACGTTGAACGCGTACCAACTGCGCCCTTCGATGCGATTGCTTGGATTGTGGGGGTGGCTACGCCCAGCGTTGGGTTCAGTTGAACTGGGGCAGAGCCTGTCGGGACAGGAGGATAAAACGCGGATACGGCAGCAACTTGTTCGCTCCTCGTTGGGCCGGTAGTTGGCAAACGTACTGGGCCAGCACCACGTCGATAGGGGCTGGGTTGTTTGGGTGGTGCACGCTTCAATACGATGATCTGCTCGATGGCCGCGGAGAAGGTGTCATAATTTTTGTCTTGGATGTAGTAGTGTTTTAGACGGAATGTGAGCTCAACTAAAGCCCCTTTGATCGTTTCTGTGACATTCATAGGTAGCACGGCCGCTTCGGTTTCGTCGTAGACCATCAACGGTAACACTTTATGAGTCTGAACCAAGTCCGCGAGGGCTTCCCGCTCATTCGCGCGAACTGGCCAAGCATTGGTATCCAATTCCGATCCCGGCGCTATAGTTTTTCAAGTCAGTAAGTTGTAGTCAGTAACTGAAGGTTGACGTACGATCGAAAGCGGGATCCTGGGGATAATTGGGGTGTATTAGAGAAGCGAGTCGTCACTTGATGTATGACCGCTTACCTTCAGCGTAAAGATTGGCGCAGTGAAACGAAGGGAAGAGTTGACCCCTTCGGCCAGCACAAAGAACTTGTGATCTTGAGAAGTTGCGATGAGGCCTTGTAAAGTCGTGATGGCCGTGATGGACCTATCCCAGTCACTTCTGAAGTCGACGTCGCTGGGTTTCACAAGAGTTAGCCCAAACTTGGAGGATGCAAGTGTGTTATAGGCTCCATGGTTACCCCAGGGTTCGACTGCTAAGCGACTATCGGAGACTTCGCCGACAACGACGCATACTGTCTCTTTAATGTCGCTTCCGGCAGCGGGATGGGAGTCGACGAGCTTGTGTCCACTGCCATAGCTGCCCCATCCTACAGTGGATGTCCAACCCGGACTGGCAGTATACTGACACGTTCGGAGGAGCCTGTTACGAGTTGCTGGTCCACTGTACACCATAATTGCTTTGACGTATCAGACATGGTTTATAGCATGGAGAGTGATGTAAGTACTCACCAAGTCGATGTGGTCAACACAAAAGAGAGTTGCGAGAATTGTAAGGCTAAAATTGAGGTCAGACTGTCGCTTATATAGATTTTTCTCTCTACCCACAAGGGAAAAAAAAAAAAAAAGAGGGTGATAGTTTCTCGATCCGTTGAAAATTTTACTTGCCTTCTACCGCGATCTGTCCGACAGCCGTGGGCGTGATGACAGGGAGTCATCTGCGAAGACCGCATTGTCGAAGAAATAGGAGATCTGTTTAAATTTCATTCAAGAAGTGTTATGAATGTAGTTTACGAATTCTAAGGCGAAAAAGACAAAAGGGCTATGGGAAGCGAGCAGCAGTCTCGACAGCTAACATTGCGAATCTCATGTCCGCTACTCTCAGTTTATCAGACGGATGATTGGTGA